AAAAAAATATAATGATGATGATTCTTATTATCATTATTATTATTATTATGGCAACGATGAAGAATTATTACAGTCCAATCATTTTTATTACGCATTTTCTTGAGAAAAATGCGCTAATGAGAAAAAAATCAGGGTACTTCTCTAATTTCTATACAGTATACACAGACACAATAACAAAGACAGAGGGAATGACTCTTCCTCCATCATTTAAAAGCACAGTACAATACTGTACTGCAATTTTTGCAAATAGAATGAAAAGCCAGTTTAAATGTGAAGTAGACAAAAACATCACTAAAACATTTGCAATTGCAGAGCTATAAGAATTTAATTGCTTGGAAAACTGAGTGATCTTCTGAATAATAATAAAAAAAAAGCTTCAATAACGCATTCGCACTAATTTATCTCTTCATTTTGGGAGAAAGATGTGAGTGAAACCACTTGGAAGCATGTTTGTCACTGATTAAAGATATACAGTACCATCCAATGCTACAACAAGAACCTGTCAGCAGCAGTCACGTATGGGATTGGATATTTTTCAGACTTTGTCTGCCTTAGTCAGGATATTTCTGCCTCAAGAATCTATTAAGCATTCCTCAAAAAAGTTTATTCAACTACTGCTGGAATTGAGAAGATTGTTACAACAAGATGGTTTCAACATCCACTCTATATGGACTTTCTGCAGCTGGGATATGCTGAAAATTTGTCTATCCTAGTAATTGTTGCAAAGAGATTTTGCTGCATACAAAAAACAAAAATGGTCACAATTAAGCAGCAGGTCATGCCCTGCTCATAATTTTACGCACTTCTGAAATCGTTGGCACAGGACTCCGACTAATTCTCCCACTCTGTCCACCTCTGGATTCTTGGACATCAGCGCAAATACTAGGTCATTTCCGGATGACAGGTGAATGGCAATCACTTGGTCTTTGCCGGAGCTCACAGACAGTGCGGTTACCTGAAAAATAAAAAGAAGTTGGCAACTATATACAATGACACGAGTATATAGTCTCCTTTTATCAAGAATAATACTTTTTGACCTTTCATTGATGAGTATTTTGGGCTGAATAATTATCATTGTTTCGCTGATGGACATGGCAACATATACAAATTCACATACATATACAGTAGCTGGTACAGTATTACATCCTTTCTATTATAATCCATTCATTAATAAAAGTCACATGAATTGAATCTATTTAACTTTGGAAATACCCCCATCAGGTGGGAAGCAATTCTTCCTGTAATCACACAAGTGGTTCAAACTGGGATCACAAATGCTATGGGACATTCCGGGGTTACAAGTGTAAACCACTGGACAGCATGTATGAAGATACAATTTTTGCTGAACTTCCAGAATTTCATTCTTGGCATACAATTGTACATAACATTTGGTAAAAGGAAAAAAAGAGCTTTGTATGTGCACTTGAGGTGATGCACAGCAGGGTTTTCTGTTTGTGTGACTATTTACACATGTAAGGCCCAAGTGTTCAATGATTCCTCCCACTTTGGGCCAGCTCACTTTGAATTAAGTATCCCAAGTGTAAAACTCCAAGACTATATAGATGTTATATGAGTGTCTCCAGTTCCCTTACGGAGGAAAGTACCCGAATTTGAACCCGCCAAGGTCAAACATTTCGTAGAACAGTCAGTGGTGTTGCCGGGAAAGGCGTTTAAAGGGTTTGGACAACTGTTTGATGATGGCTGAAGAGAACAAGACCTGCGCTCAATGGAAAAATCAAGACACACTTTTTATAAATACACATCATCTTCCACAATTCACTGATTGCTGTTAAATATATGTAACAAAATGAAGACCTTTTCAAATTTGTCCTTGGATCTCAGAGAGGAAATGGTGGTCTGGAAACCCGCAGCATTGTCACAGTGCGCAGACAAGGCCAAGTAATTGCCTTCCCACGCATTGTTCAGCCCCCATTCCCGTCTCTTCCTTTGCAATGCCTCAGAAGCGACAATCTGATCCACACAACAACAAAAAATACAACAGTTACAACAAATGTATGTTTTGTATACATACAGCATAAGCTAGAGGTTTGAAAGATAAGGTTTACACCTTTTTTTCTCTGTTCGGACTCTTTCCCGATCGTACGTAATAATTTATTCTATTCGTACTAGTGACGTCTGTTAAAACGTCCAGGGTGTTCTAGGTACTGACGTCACTGTAGATGGTACACTGAAACAACTTGTGATTGCAGTGGACAACAATGTGGGATACATGAATGACACTATACTGGGTTCTCCCTGTTGGACTTGGCCCATGATAATTTTGAAGTAAGAGTGGGATTTTCTTTTATTTTCAAAATGATTTTCAAATTACTGCTTCATGATAAATTAAAACTTTCCTGTTACAGCCAGGCTTCTCCACCCATGTCACAGTATGCTGAAAATTTGTCAGGCCAGCTAAAAGAAATTGGGATTTTTTGTTTTGTTTTACCCATTTCCTTTTCTAAATTTTGTACAATGAAAAAATTCTATTGTTTTAGCTAACCTGACACATTTTAAACACCATGAGACATGGATGTAGAACTTCAGCTGTAACTGGAAAATTTTCATTTATCATCACACAGAAAATTGAAAAACGGTTTTGAAAATCTGAAAAATCCCAGAAACTCAGAACATCATGCTGGGCAATATGTGATGATATTTTCACAATCACAATCTACTGTACTTTACAAAACATATCAGAGGTTGCGTCCAACTGGGACAACCCTCGTACAGCATATGAAATTAAGCATCACTTTGAAAATCTCCAGGCACAAAATGTCAACCACCTCCTGTCTGCAGCGACATCTATGTGAACTAAGAGAACCCGTTATCGCAGTGAACACAATTGGGGAATATGAATGACACTACAGCACTCAATCTTATCTTTTTTTCAACATAAGACATGGATTCCCATCATGCAGATGCATATACAGTATACTGTATTTGTACACAGCAGTATACATGCAGCATGTATATATATACTGTGCATCACCTTGGTCCTCAGCTGGGGCCAGGTGTCCCTGGGCACCCTCCTGAGCACCATGAAGGCCCACCAGCGCCGGTGCACTGCCTGCAAGTAGCCCATGCCCGTCCGCAGCACCTTGGGCGGCACTGGCCAGCGGACCCGCCGCCCAAAGTCCGGCATCTGGCGGACGCCCTGGAACGCCGTCAGCACCTGGGTCACGTACTTGCGCATCCGGTATTTGCGGTAGGCCAGCAGGATCCTGCGGGCCGCCTTGATCCGCTTGTAGCGCATCCTGCAAATGGTGCCTCGCCACATCTTCTGGATGAGCACCACGATGTTGGGAATCAGCCTGGCCCTGGCCTATATTATTCAAAACATAATAATAATAATAATTGAAACATCCATCAGCAAAGTTGCACCCATATAACATTACAGCACAAATGTGAATTTTCCGTCACTGCATATCTGAGAAATAAAAAAATACACTCTTATATATTACAGGATAAACTGAGTGTATAACAGCTGAAAACTAGCAAAACTTTGCACACTAATAAGACACTAACAGCAGTTGTTTTCATCATTTCACTATTGATTATATGTTCACCTGTGTGAAACTTTGCCTTAAGAAGTATAGATTTCATAGCCTTGCATGAGATATTATGCAAATACATTGTTGATGCTCTGCTTCCTGATGTTTCCTTGAAATCTAAATCTAAATATAATTCATTACACGTAAAATTATAAGCATATACATTTAATATCTTTTACAGAAAGTCCCCAACATATATTCTTGAAGCAACTTTCATTAACTTGGAGTCACATCCATCAAAATCAAACAAAATTATATAACTCTTCAGAATCACAAAAGAAAATAGTATTTCATTTTAACAGCACCCACATTCTCCAGCTCAAACAGGGTCTTTGCAGACCTGATGAAGATCTTGCTGGACCCATACTGCACATCCTGGGAGAAGCCCAACTCATCAATCAGCACCTTGGTCCAATGCTTTTCCGTGTGGCCTCTGTAGTTGGGCCAGGTGTAGTTGGACAGCATTTTATACCTGACAAGCAATAAAATGAAGCCAGTCATTGAAGAATTCTACGAGGCAAAATTGTTGGTGTACTCATTGAAAGAAAACTCTACTTTCATCACGGCTACAGGACAGTTATCATTTGAACAGAGCTGAACCAGCTCTTGGAAAAATACAAAACGCACGTAGGTTTTCATATTTTGCAACCAAAGTAATCATCAAACAAATGTGAAAATTACACAAGATGTAGAAAAAATTGTAAAAATATATAAAATGTTCCATTAAAAAAAAAAAAAAGAGAGAGAGAGAGAGAGAGAATTTTTTGTCTGGCCTGAAGAAGCCGCAAGAGCTTGTGATTTGTTACATGATGGGTGGGGAATTACACCATAACTGGAAAGTTTTCACTTATCACCATGCAGTAAATCCAAAATTGTTTATGAAAATCTGAAAAAATACCAGAATCTTGCAATAGCATGGGGTACATCATATATAAAATTTTTACAGTGGCACCCAACTCTAGAAATAACCAAGGTCAAACAGAAGTGGGGCAGCCCCCATATTTACAAGAAATAAAAAATGAAACGAAAAGAAAGAAACTAGGGTATTCTTGACAATGCAATACTGTACTGAATATACCTCTTCAAGAAGCGGTCATAGGTTTGCCTGTGCGCGAACCCGGCTCTTCGAACCCTGACATTCTCCAACAGTCCCAGATACGACACCTGGTGCTTGACTCTTTCTTCGTCAAACAGAACCGGCGACTTCATGTCGTTGGGCTTGATGCACCTCACGTAGTAGGGTTCCTTGGAGGCCAGGTTCTTCACCAGGGCGATCATGGAGTTCTTGAAAATGGTCCCTGCTGTCTGAGGCCGTTTCGTCGTCTATATAAATACATAAATAAATGAATGAAAATACATATTTACCGAATGATTTGTACAGCAGGAAAACGAAAAATGTTGACAAAAACAGAAATGATATACTGTACAGTAGTATACCATGAATTTTATAAAAGAGCTGCGTATGTGAATGCTTTTCGCAAATGACACTGAATACATGTATTATTATTACCCTGCCTCATTTTTCTGCATCAATCCTTCATTTTGGCAACACTACTGGCATTTTATCGTTAATATTTTTACTCGGTACCAGAAAAATTCCAACAGTGTGTTGTGGAAAGGATTAAAGCATCACTGAGAAAAAAAAACCAGTGAAAGTTTTTCCTCCTCTCTCAATTGTCATTTTGAGGAAAAAGCAGTCTTCATACAAACTTCACTGCAAAGAATCACTCACTCTTGTTTCATTTCTACTTCATCTTGAAGTACTGCATTTCACATCTGGGTTTGGATTTTATTTTTGCGCAAAATCCTTTCAACCATACCTGTGTATAGAGTGTTCTTTGTGAATCATGTCATTTATTTACCATCAAATCACACAATGAATCATTCTGAAAAAGATAGGAAAATATATTCAATGTGTCCCATTGAATATATATGGTCTTGGCCGCAAATGGACTGATTGTCAGTGTTTTGTTTTTCCACTGCATCTTTATCAAGCATTATTTTGCTGGGTTCTATTAATACCCAACATGGTGATTGATCAGCATGAAGTACCGTATATAATTCTGGTTCTCAAAAACCAGCAGCCATGTATTTTTGAAATGTGACAGTCGTAAAGTTTCTGTTGGATACTGCAAGCAGCTGAGCTAGTGACTGTTACAGAAAACAAAAGAATGATTTGGGAAAACTTTTTCCGACAACTGGGATAGATGTCACGTCACTCTAACAAAAGCATCATCATGCAGATAAAAACAATGATAATCTAAAAAGCAATAATTCAGACCAAGTATCGCATTTTATGGCAGTTTACACAGAATAACCGCATGTCAAGAATTACGCGTGGACCTTGAAAATTTTAATTGGGCCTATAATCCAATACTGTATAAATGTGCAGTCTTTCAGGATTTTTACAAAGTGACTTCATTGATTCTCAATGAGAGTACATAAGGAACCTGACCATGTGCAACCTATATTAGACATCATTTTTAATAAACTTGGAAGTTTGTCAGATTTTGTTTTCAAAAAATGAATAATTTATTGCAATGGAAACCAAGACAACTCACAGAAGTAATATGCTGGGCCCCTTCTGGCCACATGTCCCTCAAGAAGTGGTCACTAGAGTTGTACAAAAGCCGCTTAAAGTCTTGGAACAACAAATCCTTATTCTTGTCCATGAAACCAACGATCTTGTAGGACACATTCCCTGCATAGTGCCTGTGGATCCAGAAAAGGGTCAAATGTGACTTCCAATACATAGGAATGCCCAATTTATTTAAACAATGCACATTATTTTAAAGTCTTCATCATGAGCCAAAGTCTTGTCCTGGGGAGTCAGTCTCCTGCTGGTGTAATGCTGATGTCCCTTCAATTTATCATCCATATTTGCTGTGTTCTCCGTCGCCCACAAACTCCACAGAACCCTGAAATCCAAACCAGAACAAGAACAAGAAAAAATCAGCTCTTCTTTTCTGCAAAACAATTGAAAAATAAAATAAAATAACAAGCATTTTAATTTTTAAATGTAGGCACGCTGTGTATAAACAAGACAAAATACACTAGAAACTCATTAAATCATTTAAATCATTCACTTGAGAATTACAGATTAATATTTTTTGAAATATTTAAAGCTATTGGATGGCAATCATGCAAATATCTGGGAAATTTACATATGGTATTGACATGGTGTAAATTGAACCGATTTTCAAACTAGGGTATTGGTACTGTATTAATAAAGGAATGCATTCGAAGTAAAAGGGAAGATCTCGACACTGATGTTTCAAATATGTTTTGCATGTGGTACATAGGCATACTTTTTAAAAAGTAAACCTGGAAATTCTGCATTATCTAGAAAGTTTCAAATGCCACGATTGAATTTAATTTCTACCTAAAATAAAAATGTTGAGCTTCCCAATGTCCAAACAGAGCGTATACTGTTTTTTTAGTGCGGAAATATGCTGAGTTTGAATTTTCATTCAATATTGATGCACAAAAAAAAAATTGGGCAAAAGACAAAAGCAGGAATATATAGACATTCCTTGATTCAAGAAAGATGTTCAATTTCTCACGACACTCGAAAATTACACTTTCAAGTCTTCATCAAATAAATGGATGAATTTAAATATACAGTACAGTAATCTGCGTGTACATCAGACATCAGTGAACGCACCAGGTGCAAAATGGCGGCCACGGTTCTCCACACAGCTGCCATTTCGGGTTGCGAAAAGTTGAGTGTTCTGAAAGCAGACATGGCTGCCTTGTAATTTTCGCGATCAGAAATGGAGTCCACTCTCGGAGTCCCTCCCTGTTTCGTGTAGAAATACGCCTCAGGGTCTTTCTTCAAGTGCAACTTTTGNCCCTTGTGAGATTGTTCCACCAAGTCACAGATGATCTGGTTATTAAAGTAGTCAATCTTGGTCCAAGGGATCCCCTCACGTTTGTATTCCTCTTGCTCTTGCTTCAAGACAAGCTCTGCAACATTAAAAATCCAAAAAATAGATTCTCATTTCATATACAAGTAATACAACACATTCCACTTGCAAAATTTATTCAAGAGTTTTAGTACTGAATATGTACTGTTCACAGTAAAAGCTTGCTACAACAATTTTTTGAGGCTTCAGAAATATAGTTTATTGTACTGAAGAATTTTTTTATAACAAGATTTTAAAAATTAATGACCGGAAAGCATTCTCACATCAGACCTGCCCATAATCAATTGGCTTTCCTGAAATTTTCAGAATTTTATCATTGCTTGAAAAATTGAGTGACCTTGTAAAAAATTAAAAATACTGCAGCATGAATTTCATCAGTTGCACCAATCAACAGTATTCATTTTGAGAAGATGATAAGTGAAACCACTTGGAAGCATGCTTATTCTCATTGATTACAGCTTTCATTCATTATTAAAATAAAAGTCAGTCTGTCACATTTCGGATCCAAAATTTCAGACTGTGCCTGCCTCAAGTCAAGAAATCTTTACCTTGAGAATATACTTGAGATTCCTCAAAAAAGGTTGTTTTCCTGGAATAGAGGGAAGCTTTTTGTAACAAGGTGGTTTTAACATGTACTCTTTGGGTTTTCTGCTGTGACTCGAGAAAAAGTTTGTTGTCCTGAAAATTTAGTATTTCTGGTAACGAGATTTTTCCTGCAGGATATAGAAAAAAAAAGAATTTATATTCGCTGGTTACTTTTCGACAACCTCGAAGAGCAACGTCATCAACTACGTTTTGACGAGCTTCGACAAGAACAGTTTATAAAGTTTTGGTATTTACAGGTCCTGAGGCTACTGACTACGGGGTGCAGACATTGTGCTCTTGTCCTCTCGCACCTCAATCACTTCATTAACCTTCTTCACAATCCAGGTGAAGAGTCTCTCATAGATTGCCTAAAAAGAAAAAAAAATTGAAAAACATTAGTCGAACAAACAAACAAAAACACAAGCGAGAATTTTGCATTCAAACAAGTCACCCTGTAAAATAATATGCAACTGTAAAATGAATTTAAGCTCTGTCCAAGATAACCTCAAGTGACTTTTTAAAATGGTTTACAGCACATGCACAGGTTGTTGCTTCATTCTTTTATTAACAAATAACAGTGCTTTTTTTTGGGACATTCATCTTTAACTAATTTCTGGCCAATTCGAATAATTTCGGCTTCAATTTATTTTATTTCATTTCGAAAGACAAAGTAACAATACCCCAAGTAACAATGAAAGAAATGCTGAATAAATTTTTGTAAATTTCCTGATGAACAATAAAAAGGAACTGTGACCAAAAAAAAAAAAAAGAAAGGAGAATGGAAGAAGGATGTCCTCTAACTTTTGCAAACGCGTCTCTTCCGTACAAGGCGTTGGCAACCGTGTGACCCTTCTCCATGACCTCGCCGCCGGCTGCGATGACCCGATGACACAGGGCCTTGTCCAGGTCAGCCGCTTTCACGCCGAGCAACTCGGCCACTTTGGACAACGTCTGTCCAGAGGCCACAAACGACACAAGAGGCAGCGGGTGTTTGAGGTGTCTTGGGACTTTAGGTTTGGTCTTGTTCTTGTTCTTTTTTAGTCGAGAAGAAAAGACGTTTTGTTAACTTTTTATTTTATTTTATTGTTCGTAAATAATTTTTAAATTTAGGCACGCTGTGTTTAAACAAGACAAAATACACTAGAAACTCATTAAATCATTCAAATCATTCTCTTGAGAGTTACAGATTAATATTTTTTTTTAATATTTTAAGCTATTGATTGGCAATCATGCAAATATCTGGGAAATTTACACATTGACATGGTGTAAATTAAACCGATTTTCAAACTAGGGTATTTCAACAACAATGAAGGTACTGTATTAATAAAAGACTACATTCGAAGTAAAATGGAAGATCTCGACACTGATTTTTCAAATATTTTTTCATTGCATGTGGTACATAGGCATACTTTTTAAAAATTGAACCTGTAAATTCTGCATTATCTAGAAAGTTTCGAATGCCACGATTGAATTCGAATTCCAATCTAAATTAAAATGTTGATCTTCCCAATGTCCAAATAGAGCGTATACCGTATTTTTAGTTTTTCGTTGTGGCTTTTGGTAATTCGAACGCAAAAAAATGTGGAAATATCCTGAGTTTGAATTTTCATTCAATATTGATGCACAAAAAAAATGTGAGCAAAAGACAAAAGCAGGAATATATAGACATTCCTTGATTCAAGAAAGATGTTCAATTTCTCACGACACTCGAAAATTACACTTTCAAGTCTTCATCAAATAAATGGATGAATTTAAATATACAGTACAGTAATCTGCGTGTACATCAGACATCAGTGAACGCACCAGGTGCAAAATGGCGGCCACGGTTCTCCACACAGCTGCCATTTCGGGTTGCGAAAAGTTGAGTGTTCTGAAAGCAGACATGGCTGCCTTGTAATTTTCGCGATCAGAAATGGAGTCCACTCTCGGAGTCCCTCCCTGTTTTGTGTAGAAATACGCCTCAGGGTCTTTCTTCAAGTGCAACTTTTGCAACTCGCTGTCAGGTGCACCATTCAGCAACTGCCAAAAAATATACAGTACATAAAAAATTGAGTGAAAACACCATCAATCCAAAATCTGCCATTCAATTAACTATTCAGACTGGCTCCTGCAAAAAATAAAATAAAATGAAAATACCACAGCGGAATGATTTTTTGCTGTTTCAATAATGCAAAGTATTTTTTGCAATCAGCAGTTGATTGCTTTCTCATTCATGCCAAATAATTTGAACTTATTTCCTTCTGACACATTTTTAAATACACTGTGGAATGTTTATAACTTTTCAGCTGCAAAGGCGATTGCGAAAGAATGTTTTCTTCCCGCCATTGATACTCATTTTTGCAATTTTTTCCGAATTGGCACGGATTTTTCTTTTTTGGCACGAACTCGTGCACACAGCAGTCAGCACACAAATACCTGGTAGAAGGCGTGGAAATTCCGCTCGCCCTTTTGCTGAAACACGACTCTGGACTTCTCCAACAGGTAATTGGACACGTGTCCGCCAATCGGATCACCCTTGAAATCGAAATTGATGTCCATGTATTTGCCAAACCGGGACGAGTTGTCATTCCGATTCGTCTTGGCATTTCCGAAGCTCTCGAGAATGGCATTCGATTGCAGCAGAACGTTCTTCACTCTGCAGCATACAGAAGAAAAAATTAACACCTAATCCAAGGGTATAACAATGATGAAAATTTCACTTATTCATGCTAGAAATGAAGAACAAAACATTATTATTATAATTATAATTCTAAATTTAAAAGAACAGAATTTTGTTTCAGGCCCAAAAAAAATGGCAAAGCAATTTGGCGATGACAAACCTCCGAAAACTTTTTCAGCACGATTCAAAAATTCAGCAAAATTCTGTGAAGAGAAACCTTCAATTTGACAAGATATTTCACAACATTTGCAGCAGAAATTCGCATTTCCTTTCGACGGCCATCAGTAGGAAAATTACTGAGACCATAATTTTGATTAATCTTTCATTTTTTTATTGTTCCACGGTTGGTAGTTTCAAAATGGAGGCATTTCTTCCCATAATTTTCTAATTTATTTATAATTTCTAATTATTTTTCAGTGAAAAAACAACCCCTTTGGCAAGTTTTAAAAATTTAGCACATGCAGCTTTAAAAAATATATTACAGTATAAATACGGTACAGTACAGGTGGTACCTTGCAATTCAAAGTCCTGCAATAATTGGACAGTCAAATTTGATGGGATGTCAACTTGCAATTCAACCTCTTGCCCTGCAATTTGACCTTCAGAGAGACTCAAAATGTGAAATTCAATGTAGAAAACATAGAATTTGACATTGTCTTGCAATTTAACTGCTTTACAATTTGACCCTTACCCAGCCATGGATCAGGGTCAAATTACAGGGCACCACCTGTACTATACAATTGAAGTGCCAAAACATTTATTGCACGTTATCCAGTAAAATCAATATCCAAATGCAAGGAGAGGTTCATTGCATATGACTACAGCATGAACAGCACTTCTCAGTTGCCTCATTAATTCCACTTGTCATTATCCCTTGTAGCGTTATTTAATGCGCAAATCTGTGCTCAGCATTCCATTGTTACCCATGACACCTTTCTAAGGCATTTGCATCTCTTTTCTTGTGTCCTGTGCAACCAAGCACTGTATGTCAACACCAATCCAAACTGGTCACTATGTGCATTCCACAACCTTTTTAAAACGTTTTTATTAACTCGCTTTCTTGTCCATTTGTTTGTCCGGATCAAATTTTGCAACTCAAATTTTGCTCACTTCCCCACTAGCTAGCAAGCTGAAACTTTCAGGATAGCTTAAGTTTAAGGTTATTTTTTGCTTTTTGACAATGTGGTTTTTTAGATTAATTTTTTAATCTACTAAATTTTTCCATCCAAGATTACAAATACAGGTGACTTGCACAGTTGAAATAACGTCATCCAAATACAGTACAAGTTATCCAGATTTCCACAAGACCTAATTTTCGAGAAACTATCCACAGAAGCAAATGTAATTTGAATGCAGTCATGCATCTTCTTTTTTTCTATTTATTTGTCATATAAAATGAAACACTGGTTTTATTTCACAAAAGTGAAATGAACAAGAAGAAGAACAGGGCCAGGGATACAATTTAATACTGTAAATAAAATAATAATATTAAAAAAAAGATGACAGCAGTAGTAGTAGTAGTGTATACCTCTCGATCTCGTCCTGGCCCGACACGTTGGTGACGGCGGCGATGTAGCGCATGATGATCTTGGACGCCTCCGTTTTCCCGGCGCCACTCTCGCCACTGATGACGATGCAAGTGTCTTCCCCGCGCCGCTTCATCGACTTGTGCGCCGCGTCGGCAATGGCGAAAATGTGCGGCGCCCTCTCGAAAATCTCTCTGCCTATTTATTTGTTTTTGCAAAAAAAACAGCAAAAATTAATAACACATTTCTTTAAAATGTTGGGCACTCTCAACAATAAATAAGCCCAGGACTGGGAACATTCTTGAACCAAACCCAGTTATTGTAGAGATGGATTCTCTCTCTCACTCTCTCAAAATGTTTTTTTTGCTAAATAAATAATCATTTTATTCCAGGGTTCTTTCCCCATATTATAGGGGCTCTGAACAAAGAAACTCTCCGTACAAAAAATTGTCTCTCTGGTCCCATGAATATTTGTTTGTACAGGGAGTCCATCTGTATTTAAATGCAGTGAGAGAATGAAGAAATTTAACTTGTTGGAAGGTACACAAATAAACACAGGACTTATTGCAACTGCACAAGTGGACTCTGTGTGAAATGAAACTCAAGGGACAAGGAATATAATTCTTTGTACAGAGACTTTTGTTGTAGATACATTCTAATACAGTACATGGGAAAAGGACCACACACAAAAATTTGTTAAGCAAGAGAAAATATTTGGAAAGAGAGTTCACCTGTACTTTTAACAATTTGCTCTTTTATGCAAGCAAGCAAATAGAGAGATGTAATATAAACAGGAAATATGACCCACAAAAAATAAACAACAACATGTTCAGAGAAAATTAATGCACTACAACAGCATTCAGTTCATTCCTGACACCAGTTTGTAGAATAATTTTTTTTTCTTTTTATGAATGCAGAAGCCTAGGAACAAACCTCCAACACTTTCCAGATACCAGAAATAATTTGGTAAAAGATCTTACAGGGGAAAAAACAGGATCATGTGCGAATAAAATTGTAAATGTGAAATTGTTTATACAAGATTTGAGATCCTTCAAAGCTAAAAAAGCAAGCAGTCAAACTGAATTTTCGCTTTGAAGGAGCTTAAATCTGGTATAAAAAATTTTAAATATACAATTTTATTCGCACATGATTCTGTTTTTTCCCCCTGTAAGATCTTTTACCAAATTATTTCTGGCATTTATATCATTTGGAAGGATGTGGTATGGACTTAAGAACTTGCACGTAAACAAAGGTGCACAATTAAACAATGTTTGACTAAACAAACTTTGAAAGCGTCACAGTCAATTTGAGGTCAACAGATGACCCACCTCCTTTCTCTTTCAAATCACTCTTTTCTTTTCTCAAGGAATGGAAAAAAAATGGATTCCCTGTTTTATTTCCCTCCAATCAAAGAATTTTCAAGGCAGAGCATCACTTTTCCCACAGCCAATTTTCTGTGGGAAAAGTCGGATCAAATCCGAAAATGAATCTGTCTTTCGTCCATCCTTTCCTCCCACAGATAAACAAACCAAACAAACAAAGAAAGATGATGACATGATTAACTAAATTAAAAATGGCAAAGTTTGCCCGGCTTCTTGTTGTCTCCACAATTATTATTCCTGGTTTTTTGTTTGTTTCTTTTTCAATGTGCAAATGCCCAATTTCGTTCTCAAATTCATGGTTTCAGAACAGCAAACACAGGAAGTGGATGGCACATATCCACAATTGAATAAATTTAATTTTCATTTATTCGACCTGCCGTATCGTCTGAGGGTGTAATTTTTTTTAAGGGGCCCCTGTCAATAAAAATTCAACAGTTTGCTGAAGAAGAAAAGTCCCACGAATGTCCATTTAAAAAGTTACAAATTCCTGAGCAACAGTTTACATTATTATACTCTATTGTACTCACATGAGAAAAACACCTGACTTTAACATGTCCTTCAATCATTGCTCATATGTACCATACCAGGATTAGCCAAGTAACCTGTTTCTTTTCAACAACAAAAACCAGCTCACAGGTAAAAAATAATTAAATAAATATACTGTACAGTAGTACAAAGAAAATTGTCAGCCCCAAAACTCATTCACCGACGTGGTTTCAATTCTCATCATCAACAACAACACAAAAAGAACAATCTCAATTAGTCGAGTACTGTACTGTGCATCCTTGAAAACCGTGTCGCATGTACTAACTAGGTGTTTCCAAAAAATAAAAAATAAAACCCCAGTGTCACTCCCCAAAAAACGAAAATCAGACGCAGAAATGAGGACGGCATAATTCACCGACGCAAAACCCAAACAAAATATGAAAAAAAATGAATGAATGAATGAATGAATGAATGAATGAATGAATGAATGCATGAAATAAACGGACAACAAAGTCAGGCGAAAAATAAAATGAATAATAATTATTAAAACAAAACAAAAAAAGTGCGGTACTGTAATGGCCTGTGCGACTCAGTGTTCTGGAACACTGAGCAGAACCGAGTCTCTCCATTTTTCCTCGCTCTAGTCTTCCTGCTTTCAACACTACAATAACCTTATTTCTCTCTCTCTCATTCTTGAACATTCCAGGGCAAAGGAAGCCCCTCGGGCATGCAAAACGAACGCACAAAAAAAAAGCGGAAGAATTCCAAGAGCATGAAATCATCCCAGAAACAAGAATAAAAATAAATAAAATATATATACAGTATATATATACTGTACAGCAAATCCAAGAGAATGTTAGCCACCACAAAAAAAAAATACGAGGTGAAGCAAGCATTCCTTCCAAAGAACAATTGATGGGCACTGAAGTGGCGAGACATGAGACATGACATGACATGACATGACATGACGTGACTCACCTTTGTACTCATTGACATAGTTGGGTCCATAGAGGTGAACATCCCGGTACGGATTCACAGCCACACACACCTCCCCAATGTAAGTGTAAATCTTTCCACTGCTGAACCTGGTAATCAAATAATAATAAGAGAGTAATTAAAAAACCCTTGTTCATCCAGCCACCTTTTCAACTAAGGCTCCATGCAAAGCAAATCTGTAATATGCATATGTATTCAAAAATGGAACCCTAAAATGGTGAAATCAGGAGGCTATCATCAAATGCCACCAACATTTGTAACATATTTTCATTTGAGCAATTTTGAGAGAAAAAATTGTCAAGTTAATAAGGATAGGTCTTTGATACATTGCCATGCAAACAATTCAAACAAGGACCTGAAAATTTAGTAAGATAGGCTCCAGTTCTGAAAGGTGTAACACAATAACAATGATAATAATTAACGCTGAAAATATGCACCAACAAATTTGTGATTCCCCTTTTCAGAACATGAGCAAAAACAAAACAAAAAAAGACCTTAGTCTATTTATTAGGAGCAGACTGCAAAAGATGAAAATGAACCTTTCCAACAGCAAATATTACAAAAGCTCAGTGAAAATTGCATCCCTGATATTTAAAAATAAACATCACTATTGCCGTGGGTCAACTACGTGTCGCCCTAAGTAAATAACTTTGCACTGCAAGACAACTAGATGTTACTCACGGTTGCGCCACGTTGCTTAGAAGCAACTAGAATGGACAAGAACACAAACTTATATAATTTGGAATATTTCACAAAGGTGTGAAACCTTCAAGAAATATTCCACAATTATTTCATAACACATTAAAAGAGTGCTCATCAAAAAGATTCTTATGAAACACACTGAATCACCCTTTCAAAAGGATGATAATCAAGAAGCCTGAATCACCCCTCCAAGAATCCAACCTTCAGGACTCCACACAATCATCATTCCAACTCAAGACTTGTGACTGCAAACACATCAAAATACTTTACTTCTGTGATTGTCAAATATCCATTATTCCAAAAATATACTATCAAAAGTTGAGGATCAACCTCAGGCCGCAAACAGTTGATTGCCTGTGTTACTCTTTTCACTAAAACCTAATTCTTTGTCAGGTGTCTAAGGACCCTCAACAACTTTCACAACAACAACAACAAACGATGTTCTGAACAGTCTGCAGACATGTTGAGTAAATTAACAACTGTGTGCCTCCACAGTGGTGTCCCACAGAATCCATAAAAATCCCTCATCATCATCATAATTTTCCCCCCAAAAACAGGGGAAACTTAGGCAAGTTTAATCACCCGCAGCAGGGCCAAAAAACAAATAAAAACAGCAGGAAAAACCTTGCCAAGGTCTGCACTTTGATCAGCAAAGCATAAAATAATCGGTTTCCTCATCAGCAAACACTTCATCAAGGCTGCTGCTGCTGCTCTTTGCCTCATCTGACGCAATTTTCCAAACCACGCAACACTAAACCAACAGAAAAAAATTATGCTGCGCAATAGCCTTCAGAAATGTGCTGTAGAATACTAATACAGTACAGTACAGTACTCTGCAGCAGTACCATGAAATAGCAAATAAATGAAATAAATAATATATATAGAGAGAGAAGGTGAAAGAAAGAATCGATTTCAGTTCAGTACTTGGTTTCCCATTCAAACCAAATAACTGAGACTCCTTCTTCATTCTGCTCCTTTTTTCTGCCTCGAAACAAACTATTGTGTAATTTGAATCAAGTGAAAGGGCAACAAAAAAAACAAAAACAAAAAAAACAGAATAATAAATATGATAAATATTCTTTGTCCTTCCTTCCGTTGACTCGGTCAAAGAGAAGCTCCAGCAATTGTGTGTGTGTATGTCCTCGCAGGAAACAAAACACAAAAGAATGCTTTCTCCCTTCTTTTTCTGTGTGCATGTGTGTGTGTGTGTGTGTCTTTATGAATAGCTGGAAATTGTGTCACCTGGACCATTGATGGAATCAATGATCTTTCCTTTTCCACAAATAAAATATTTAAAAATACTGTAAATAAAGTACATATAGAGTAAATCACATCACGATAAACTCACTGAGAAGGAAGAAACAAATTTTTGATATTGAAATTATTTCTTTCTTGAGCAGATGCTGGACTGATTTTATCCTTTCCAGCTTATTTTAATGAAATAATGGGGAAATCCGACATTTTAAAATTTAATTTTCTTATTTGAGACCTTTCCCTTCCTAAAATTTCCTAAAAACAACTTACTGGAGAACAAAATTAAGAAAAACAAGAAATGCATTCGTAAGAGGAGCATGCCTTTATTAATTTATAAATTGATGTCCCAGGAATAAAACAGAATCCTTTCAAAGTATACAAACATAAGTTTTCCAAAATATATGCAACTCTAATTTATAAAAAAAAATCTACATAAATTTTGATCAGACTTATTTCTTTGTACAAAATGGAATTTTTAGCACTAACTTATTGGCATATAAATGTATTGAGGGTTCTTCAATCATGCGCAAGTTGGGTTTTCTTACATTGTGCCAATTATTTGAATTGAATTGAACAGCAAGCTTTATTTTCTGCTTTTCAGCATTCACAAGGTTCAAGCGACGTACCTGCAACCCAACCTGCTTCCCTTCCCTAATAGCAAGAAGAAAAAAATATATATCAGCATTAAGAATTGCAGCATAAGACAATCACTGGATCCAAATTAAAGCACAATGTGTTCAGCCTACTCCTAAAAAAGTTTTATTTGATTAAACAATTTGGAAAAACTCTTTGATGAGAAATCATATAAAATCAACAGTTTATCTTGTTTTTAAAAGATTTTGGAAGGAGTTTTTTCATTGAATTTTAAGCGTCCCAATTATTTATTAAAAAAAATAGCTATGGCCCATGCACACATCATCAAAGCAGGAAAAATGAAATTGTTACGAGGCAATTTTCAAAATTGTGTCCCTATGAAGGAACTTTTTGGGGGCCAAGACAAAATTTGCTATAAAGGGAATTCACTGTACAGTACTGTACCGCATGTAATTATATCTGTAAGCAAAACCTACGTCTCAGCCAAGAATCAAAAAGTGTAATCTTGGGTCGGTCACCTGATGCTGCAGCAAGAAATTACCCCCGATTTTTTTTTTTTTTTTTTGTGCCACACTGGTTCAACGAGCGGGAGAAGAATTTAGAAGAAACTCAGTCTGTTCCTGTTCTACTATTATAACGTCATAAACGTGTGGGGAGGGGGGGAGTCATTTGCAACACCTGGCTTTTTCACTCAATGAACAGTCGTGGAAAAAAAGGTGAAAAAGACACAAAAAAACACAGAAACAGTGAGAAAAGAAGACGAGATGAACAAGTATACAGTATAGGTGCTGGGATGTGTGATGCTGATGATGTGCATACTGGTACACATTGTGCAACAGGTTGTTATGCTTTTGTCAACCAAAGAAGAAAAAGAACAAACAAGCAACAACAAAAACATAGGTTTGTTCTCTTCTCTACAACGCCCGCGTGTTTCTTTGTGAAATTTGAGGCAGATGTCGCCTGAATCACTGCCAGCCACGCTTATTCGGATCATTAACCCGGCTCAAATAGTGTTTCTACCCTATTATTTTATGAACAATGCATTTACAGTACTTGAACGTGTAAAAAAACATGACTGAATGAAGTCACAAATGTTCCTTCATAAATAAACATTATTCACCTTTTTGTGGACAATTACAGGTGGACTCTCTCTCTCTCTCTCTCTCTCTATCCCTAAAATAAATTCAGGGGACCAGAAAACAAACTTGTCATGAAGAGAATTTTGCTGCTGCGCACTCCTTTACAGGTATCAAGAGTTAAAGACATGGATATTTAAAGTTTACAAAATTCTAGCATGGCAATGGATTTTCTGGGAGACTCTACAGTATAATTTTCATTTGAAGGCCTGCTGTCCCACATATCCAGACTTTTTCCATTTTCATGTAGGGGTCGCATGAAGGTTTTCTCTTCTCATAAAGTCTAACTATACAGCTATTCCTCGCAATTTGACCTAATCCATTGCCAAACTAGGGTGAAATTGTAAAGCAGTTGAATTGCAAGACACTTTGTGAAATTTAAAAATATAACTGCAAAAATGCGAAAAATGATCAAAGCAGGTGGAATTGCGGGGTACCACCTGCATAAAAAGACTTGAGATAACCCTGTAAGACCTTGAAAATTATTTTAAAGAGAATAATAATCGCTGTATAGACAAGATTGTTGTGGACAAAGTCTACCAGTAATCTGTTCACATTCAATAAAAAGTCTAAGTATACAGCATGTGGCATATACTTTGTTTTTTTTGCATATCTTATCCAATTGAATGCATTTTTCTATCTTTCCCTGGAATAGCTGTACTGTACAGTTAGACTTCATGAGAAGAGGACACCTTCATGCGACACCTACATGAAAATGGAAATAAGTCTGGATATGTGGGACAACGGGCCTTCAAAATGAAAATTATACTCTAGAGTCCTTCAGAAAATCCATTACCAGGCTAAAATTTTGTAAACTTTAAATATCCTTGTCTTCAACTCTTGATGTCAATGCATGTTTCCGCATTTTTATTCATCTTGAAACTCAATTAAACTCCTTTTATTTGTAAAAATAAAATAAAAACTTGTTTCCAAGCCCTCATGGTTTCTTTGTCTTTTCGAAAAGCAGGCATTTGAAAAAATATACACATGCCTTCATGCGACACCTATGTAAAGATGAAAAGAATCATGGAGCCTGGGACATGATGCAAGACAATGGAAAAGAACAAATGTACCTCCCTCCCATAAGCCACAGCAGACTGTGTTTGTGTGTGTGTGTGTGTGGGTTCCATAAGAAGAGACCCCAAGCAGAGCAAACATTTCTTCTTCCCCTCCCCCTTTTCCTATTTTTCCCCTTCTGCTTTGTGATGGGAGGAAAGAAAGAAAAGAAAGAATGAATGAATGAATGCAAATATACACACAGGAGGGGAGGTTTTCACACACACACACACAAAAGTCACATATTCTCCAGGTGGCCAAAATAGAACTAGGTGCCTGCATGGGTGCTGTGATGTGATGTGATGTTGGGTCCTCAAACACACATAATCTTTTTCTGTTTTCCTTTTTCTGGCTTTTTTCTGCGATACAACTTGGTGGAAACATTACTGGGGTGAGTCACCTGGTTTCGGCTGGCAAGTGTCCAGGCCATGAAACCCAACACTTATCACAATCATCATTGAAGGTGCAAAAAGAAGAAAAAAGGAGGGGACTGGAGTGGAGTGGAGTGGAGAATTCGTTGCTAGTGTATCAGGAGGAAAGAAGAAGCAGTGGGCTGACAGTATATTTAAAATGAAATTTTTATAAAAAAATAAAAGAGAGTTCTGGTCGTGATTTTCCGATCATGATTTCCCCACCAATTGTTCGCTTCCATGATTTGAAATCGACGGCACGAGCGTCGAATTGAATCCGGAACCAGGAAGTTGATTTCTAAGAGACGTACAAGTAAAGACAGAAAGAGATAAGGGTAAAGGCTAGTCACACTACATAACATGACATGTATAGTTACAGTCCACTTCACTTAGCCGACTTACTTGTTGTTTGACCGCGGCCGTCAATATTTTTAAAATGAAATTATTAATTTTAAATTTTTCGTTAGTGAGGTTAATATGTAGTTCACTTTGTTCAGAAGAAATCCGAATTTTAAAGAGAGAGAGAGAGAGAAAAAACACTTTCCATGTTTTTTTCTAGACACATCAGAAAAGCGTCCCAAAAGTCTAATCGTCCGCATGTCGGGGTCTCACTTTTATCTTTTCTTTTCTCTATATTCAACAGCAAGACGACGATCAGTCATCGGAATTCTTTGATGATGCGTTGCAACATCAGCTTTTTATTTATAGGTTAGCCATAAACCGGAGGCCTTGGAGAATTCATTCATTTTCTTCCTTCCTAGGAATGGATTTCTACATTTCAATTCTCTGCATGTTCATTTCTGTCTTTCTCTATTCCCATTTCCGATCAGTGTGATGTATTGTACTGTACATATCAATGTCAGGTGAAGTGAATCGGCTGAATGAACAACAAACTGGCGCCGGCAGTTATTCTTTTTTTTTCTCTCTTTTCAAACTCAAATGTTGCAAGCCCGCTTTCGCATCATGTCTTGCAAATTTTTGAAGGTGCTTTCCCTGCATATGTATTATTCATAGTGAGACCTCGACATGCGGACGTAATTCGACCTTGAAACTTGTCCCTATGCTGTTTCTCAATTGAAAGGAACAGAATAGAACTGTGCAGAAGAAAAAAAAACCACACGGATTTTGATACTTTGGCATCAAAAATACCCCAGAAAAACACCAAATTCTTACTGTGTTCTGCACAAGTGATTGAGAATAAAGAAGCGCAAAATTAGCTTGTTTTGAAATATGAATTAGTTTATTTTTAAAATGAAATTATAAATTTTAAATT